CTCGAAAGCCGATTTTTCTCGCTTGATTGGCCACGTTGGCGGGAAGAAAGCGATTTCACGGCTTAGTTGCTTACGTTACATTGTCACTAGCGTGAAGTCGTTACTTTCTGTGGTTCCGGTGGACATCGAATAACCCTTTAACGCTTCGATATTCTCCGATTTCACAAGCGTTAGAATAGAGTTTCTTTTCCTGCGAGATTCGATTTAGAGAATAATCTAGACGATTCCTGATTATTCTAAATTATCTTTACGATAAACGATTCTGCTTCACACACGATGCGGAAAAACTCTAGGAACGGTGCATAAAGAAAGCAGTCGGGGACCGTGTAAACAGTACGTAAACTCGATCGTCGTTCTTTCCGGTGCAACCATTACTTGCGATAACACTCGGCAGAACGGAAAAGGAGCAAAAGATGAAGGAGACGCAGAAACTGCGCTGCTGTTCGAAACGGACAGTGATTCAGAGAGAGAGAGAGAGAGAGAGAGAAAGGCGGAGGGAGCTCTTGCAATAGCGTTGCTAATCGGCTCGCTGTTCCTGGTGCACGTTACGTTTATATTGCTATTTCATTGCCGGCAATGAACTTGCGGCAATTCACTCTACAGGGTATACGGTCGTTGGCTGCCCACTAATTATTATGCAATATGCTAGCCATGCTCTCGCGAGCATGCTTATCCTTTTAGAGTCTCGGCCACGGGAGGCCGTAAGAACGCGCGACGAGTCGAACAAACGGACGTCTCTCCTGGCCTCGGCCACGTGAATTATCGTCGTCCTCGAGAGGACTTTCCGTTGATTGCCGCGTGAATGATAGACCGTTGGCGGGATGACGCAAAGTCCTATTCAAGGTGAATAATGGGAAATCGTGGATAATCGATTGACACGTTCCGCGTCGCGGACGAGAGACGACGGCGCATGGGATATTGGTAGAGTCAGGTGAAACTTTCGTTAGATGGAAGGTTTAGTTTCAAGGTTTAGATTTAGTTCAAGGTGTCGAGAATTGGGTACGATGGTCTATGCAAATCTTCTCTTCGATATTCGAACTATTTTTTAGTTTTCTGCGATACGGTATCAATTAACCCTTTCACTGCTATTGGCGCTTTCAAAAATTTGTTTGCACTGTGCTATTGGGGCACTTAAGCCTTAATTTTATCCTTTGCACTCTTTCACCTTAATTGAATAAAACAAGAGAGACGACGGCCAAAAGAAACGATTCTGCGGTCGTTGTGGAACATCTGAATCTGTCGCAGCGAAAGGGTTAACAGAGACACCCGAATTACAGAAATGAAAATTCAGTTAAACAAGGTAACAAGAAAGAACGGTTGTTTAGACGATCAAGGAGATCCAGTTCCTTCCTTCGCACGATGAAAAGTCGATGGAAAATTGAAGCATTTGTCGGGTGGCCGTCGTTCGATATTCTTGCGGATCTGGTCGTCGAATTTTAATCAGTAGCCCCCCCCCAGTGCCTGTGTGGCCACGCGGCTCGCGAACATAAATCACGATAACATAATTTATATGCTAATACCGCGAGTGCAGCGTGCGCATTCGCGCGAACGCAATGCAGAGCGAGGGGTCTAACTGGGTGTAACTACGTACCCGGTTACTCTACATAGGCGTCGACTTTCCTTTCAACGACCTTTTTAACCATCCGAAAGAATTCTTCTCACTTCGTCCACCCATTTCATTCACTCAACGTCTCCATTTTTAAATGGATTAAAATTTTTTTTACCAATTATCTGTACTTTATACGTTAAATTTTCTCCCTCGGAGATATTAACACATGGAAAACGTATCGTACGTACCAACGGAAGGCCCCATAACCTCGAAACCTATGTTTAAAAGCGAATAACCGAGCACAATTCGCTCTAACCCCTTCCTGTTACGGAACAATGGTGCATAACAGAGGATCTTCCACAGACAGACGCCAATGGTC